AATTCCTCTCTCTGGAGCCCTGACCTGACCCTGACTAGCTTGGATTTCTCCAATTACTAGTGGGCTACTTCTTTTTATATTTTTAATTTTATTTTTATAATCTAATATTTAAAAATAATTATAAAACAAGTATTCTGAATAAAATGTTATATATTTTTGCGCTTGGCAACTCAGCTGTTATATAAATTATTAGAAAACTTGAAAACTGTCATAGAGTTCACCTTACTCTTTTATATTAGGAACATATTGGTTTTAAACCACATTGGATTTTAGAAACTCAGGAGGCAGGAAAATTAAAGAGTACCACCATTACAATTCACCTTATATTGTTAACATCGAAATCAAATTACAAATTCAGAACTAGCTAAACCATAACTATTAATTGGAAAGAAAAACAACAACAACAACACATAAATAGGCAAATTGACTTTCAAATAGAATAAAATTCCCTCAACACCAAATACACCGTCTCAATATTTCCGAGTTCCCGCCATCTTGACATTTTCATTCTTCGAACCACAGATTATATTTTCCCGCTTCGCGATGACGTTTCGTTTCTTTTTGTCTATGCTCCTAACACGGCCTCTCCTGACTGGAGCACGTCCTCGCGCTCCTGTGTCGCACGTAGTCGCATATTTACAGCACACGCTCTGTAGCAGGGACATCACCGCGGCTTCTGGCAGCTTGTTCAGCTGTGAACTCTATACCGTTTGCATCTGAGAACATAAGGATTGGATCGGGACGACGGTAGTTACCGGCGGTCACATCGATCCATTTTAAATCGTTAGTGCAGCTCACAAAAAAAAGAGAAGAGGCACAATATTAGCTATCTCTGTTAATATGGACCACATGACAGGCATCATATTACCGTAATGAGCCGTGGAAACAACATAATCATCGCTTGAGAACATGAGGATTGAGTCGGGACACCGGTTTTTACCGAAGACACATCGACCCATATTAAATCGTTTATCTTACCAATTACCAAAAACGTGACGTGTGAATTCGATATCTTATGCACCTGAAAACATAAAAATTGGATCTGGATATCGTTGGTTACCAACACAAACAACCACATTAATCCATAATCATTCAAAATACAGTCAGAAAGGAAGCACTACGTTAGATATCTCTGCTATAACGACTACATGACATAGGCACGACGTTAGCGTATCATGAGTCACCAACACAGGAGGTAACATAATCAATAGTGAACCATAGGCACACACAACGTTCGCATAGCTCACAATCATAAAACATAGTCAGAAAGGAAGTCAAAGTCAAAGCATTTATTTCAATTAAACCATAGTTTGGTACTTTTGAAACGTCAACAAATACAAAATAAATAATAGTCTGTCAGTCAGTCCGTCAGTGAAATTAGGTGAAGCTAGGTGCACGACACTAGAAGCACGACGTTAGCGTATCATGAGTCACCAACACAGGAAGTAAGTAACACAATCAATAGTGAACCATAGGCACGACGTTAGCATAGCTCACAATCATAAAACATAGTCAGAGAGGAAGCACAACGTTAGCTATCTCTGCTATAACGACTACATGACATAGGCACGACGTTAGCGTATCATGAGTCACCAACACAGTAAGTAACACAATCAATAGTGAACCATAGGCACGACGTTAGCATAGCTCACAATCATAAAACATAGTCAGAGAGGAAGCACTACGTTAGCTATCTCTGCTATAACGACTACATGACATAGGCACGACGTTAGCGTATCATGAGTCACCAACACAGTAAGTAACACAATCAATAGTGAACCATAGGCACGACGTTAGCATAGCTCACAATCATAAAACATAGTCAGAGAGGAAGCACTACGTTAGCTATCTCTGCTATAACGACTACCTGCCTATGTCAGGCACGGCGTTGGCATATCAAGAATCTGAAACACATGTATAACATAATTAATACCTACGTTAGAATATTATTCAAACGCACATTACACACACAATACACATCAGATATCACACAATGTTAGCGTATCATATTGTGTAGGAAGGTAATTCTCAAAGACGACAGCACACATTTCTATAATTATATGCTATCCACATAGCACTATGAACTCCGCCACAGTCTGTGTCGCGTGTTCACACGAGTCTGCCTGCTATTAGCAGTCGTAACACTTGGCGCTGTAGCCTTCACCACAATATACGGGCCACAAATGACTGAGATGATCTTGTCAGACGTTCTGTATCCGCTCGGACACACCTGACTATGACTTTTAGTTCATCCTAAATATTTTTTTTTTTTTGATGGAATCCTGTAATCTTACACATTATCACCGAATCAGCATTATCATTGATCATCCGAAAAACTTGCTTCAATTTTTTTTTTATCACGCAATCAACATGGTACACATGTAGTCAGTATGTAAAACATTGCCTACCAGTAAACTTTACTTATCGCGAGTCAGCTAACATAAGTAACACTAGCGGTTCAATACCTGGACATTGGTGTTGCTAAAATTAACTCGTCGAGTACCGGTTTCGTAGACACAACTATAGAACAACAGGTTGCGGTCACCAGTGACCGGTTGGTGTTGACAGTTTAAAACCCTGAAAACTGGGTTGTGTACATATTTGAAATTTTATGCAACAAAACGATAAACAAATTAGGCATCATCTCTCAACATACAAAGATGTATCCTGACACTCTTCGGAGTCTAGTCACATTTCTAGGAGGAAAAACGAATCCATACAGCTGTTTGTTCACCAGAAGTAGAAAGCACTCACGGCCTCCTAAGAGGTTACCCATGCAGTGGACAAACCAAATTAAGTCTGTATTTAGCAATTTGCTAAACAAGTGGAGAACGGACAAACAAATTATGGCTTATAGTAACTGTGAAGTGCATACTGGCAACCTACCTCCACTACAGTACAACAACCACATCAACACATTATCGGGTAACGCTGCTAAGGAGACACATACTGCTGTCTACCATCATAACAACAGTACTTCCCTGTACAACTACCTAAACATGCATGATTCAAGTAGTAACATGTAACATTTTTCACAATTCTGCACAAGTAAAATATGTTTTTCATCAACATACAGCAATTCTCCTGTTCTGATTTTAATCTTTAATCTTTGGATTACATTACTTTGATATACATAATCTCAAGTCAAGCAAAGATGTAAAACTTCAGCTAAATTCACAGCTAAACCTGAACACATACTTTTAAAAAATTGCAACTCCATCGGATAAAGATTTGTGATTCAAAATTCAGTTGCAAGATGCCACTTCACATGCATACATGCATTTATACATTAAGTAAAAGTTTGTTAATGGATTGACCTCTCTCAAGTGTAAACATAACAAATAATGCCTGATAACATAAGAACACAAACAATGTTAATATTAGTTAACAGTTGATGTATTTTGCTTTGTAACAAACGACACCAACAATTTATAGTTGAAACTTGGTTCAATATTACTACTGCTGTAATATGCTTAACATCAACCCATTAACTTTAACTGTAACTTTTAACAGTAATCGATAAGCATATTCAGCATTCATACATTACATTCATACATTGAGATTGATCAGTATCCGTACTCATACCTTCCTACAAAGTATTCAAAGTTTCACGAAAGTTTCACAAACTAATCCTTCACATTAATCTTAATACAACCAATGGTAACCCATGCATTGAGCCTTGGACTTAGCTTTTAAGCAGTTGCCGTTGTAAACAGGTACTCATTTTCATTTCAATAATTCAAACTTTATATTCTTGGTAACTTACTGCTTCATACCAGGTCTGGTGTCTATATTGTTGATCAAAAAAATTAGCAGATAAAGAATACTGAATATAAAAGTAAGATTAGATCTCACCAGCCTGTTTATTGAATGTATTGCTTCTACAACACGGTGAACCAAGCTTGCATAGCAGTCCAAGCAAAGTCGATTCACCTACTGCCACCAACCATCGACGCTTAACTACTGCCGCAGTCATGAACTGTAGCTGTAGCGACGTCAGCACAGGCAGGCGCACCGGTGTTGAGGTCACGTTTCCTCACCAGCAATAGGCAGCATCACTCCGCCATGCAGTCAAACAAATCAAAATTTAGTGTTTCAGTTCACTTAACTTTACACAAGCCATGTTAGCAGAATCGCCTAGGAATATTAGCAGGATCACTTCAGTGCCTACCTGACATTCATTCTCTCCTTACTGTTTGTAACAGTAAAGGACATAAGTATAACAAATTACAATGAAAGAACATGAGATTGTTAAAGATTTTAACATTAGTAAGAACAGTTTGAACATTGAGTTCACAATTTTATTTATTTGTAGCTTACACTTACAAATACACAAAAGCATTGTAGCTTTTCTGAAAAATGGAATTGGAACGTACTCACCGTAGTCATAGTTATACGTTACCACAATATTTGCCACAATACCTCGATCACAACGTACCTACTAAGCATATGAATACGAACTTACATAAAACAAACGAAAAACTTTGAATAGTCAATCTGCCGTATCATGTAGGTAAGTATTATCTACAGAGAAAGTCAGAACGCATGGAAAATAATCGTATCCCACTTCTGATATTAGAAACTTGAAAACTGTCATAGAGTTCACCTTACTCTTTGATATTAGGAACATATTGGTTTTAAACCACATTGGATTTTAGAAACTCAGGAGGCAGGAAAATTAAAGAGTACCACCATTACAATTCACCTTATATTGTTAACATCGAAATCAAATTACAAAATCAGAACTAGCTAAACCATAACTATTAATTGGAAAGAAAAACAACAACAACAACACATAAATAGGCAAATTGACTTTCAAATAGAATAAAATTCCCTCAACACCAAATACACCGTCTCAATATTTCCGAGTTCCCGCCATCTTGACATTTTCATTCTTCGAACCACAGATTATATTTTCCCGCTTCGCGATGACGTTTCGTTTCTTTTTGTCTATGCTCCTAACAAAATTTATTTATATTTTGCGAAACTCTATGGCACTAACTAATGTCAATGCCCAATACTCTACAATTGTGTTAAGTGTATTGTGAAATGTTAATCGTGAAATTTAGTCGCAGTGGCGTTGTGTGTTTTTTACGATAATTGTTGTTGGTTTCGAATAATATTTTACATGTTATAGAGATAAACTTTATGCAAAAATGTCTGCAACATCTGCCGCGAAGTCGGATTCGTTCGATGAATTTTACACGGAGGTGAGGCTTTTATTTTTAATATCCGTATTTGTATCAACATTTACACTTAGTTAATTGTTTTCTTTTTTATGTTATTATTAATATTTCACCATTCATTTATCCTTCATTGGATGCTAATGTTCATTGTTAGATAATCTATGAAATCAAATGTAAATATTGCAGTTTGTATACATAGGAAAAATACCATGCGACGGTTCTTGACTTCTATTTCTATATGCTTACACTCGTTTTGCAGGTCAAAGAGATTGAAAAACGTGACTCTGTGTTGACCCCTAAACAGCAACTTGATAGATTGTTACGACCAGGGTCCACGTATTTTAATCTTAATCCGTTCGAGGTACTACAAGTAGAGCCCGATGCCTCTCTTGATGAAATCAAGAAAAAATACCGAAGGTTATCCATACTAGTTCATCCAGACAAAAATATGGTAAGACAACAATTTAATTTTTAACATTTCTACTAATAGTGAGGCCTATTACACTTTGCCTAAATTTGTTCAAGTTTCATTATAAACTTTTATTTAAAGGTTATCTGTAGATAAAATTCCAATTTACCAAACCAACATATAGTAAACAATAAGAAATAATCCCTGTTATAGTTTAGTAACAAAATGTTTGATTAGTTATCAAGTCAGGAGTTTTCGTATTTGTTTAGACGGATATGTCCGTCAACATTCCGTTTTTATCCACAGATTTGATCATCCCGTGGGACATCCTGACACGTCCAGTAATAGGTAAGGAGAAGCACCAGATCGTAGGTGCAATTAAGATGCAAAACAATGAAAGCATTATAAAATTAAAACATTATCTGAGTTAGTTCATCAAATAAAGTATAAGCAGAAAAATGCAAACTTACTTTAAATATGTAATGAGTAAGTATTTTTCTATTATTATTTTTCAGGATGATTCTGAACGAGCTCAACAGGCTTTTGAGATAGTAAACAGGGCTTGGAAGACACTCGAGAATGATGATACTAGGAAAAAGTGCTTGGATATTTGTGAAGAGGCTAAAGAACGGACTGATCACATGGTAAATTGGTTTTGCATTTATCTATTTTCTTATCCAAACAACCTGCTATACTGATTATTGTATTTTTTAAAATTTTATAAATAGTATAATGTTATAATGTTATTTTTTTAGATTGAACAAAAACGGAAAAAGATGAAAAAAGACAATAAGTTAGCAGAAGGTATCCCAGAAGATGATCCCGTAAAATATAAACATGCAATTTATGTTATGACCATGAAGGTATGTTGTTAACATTTATTTACTTATTGGTACCAGAAAGAAGACTCCCAAAGTGTGGCGTTGTGTGTTTTGTGTATCGTGGTTACATTTATATTATACAATAATCTGCCATCCCACTATATGTTGTACAACAGTTAGTTGCTAAGCCATTGTATCAACACATAGTCAATGTCATCATATTGGCCACACGACATCCGGTAGATGTAGACATCCCCCAATGACTTTCAGAGCCACTGTTTTAAAGCGACCTGCTTCCAACAGCTCATTTAATGTCATTGTGCAATAATTTTCACATGTCTGTAATATCTTTTAAAAATTCCAGTTATTTGCTGACATGGAACGAAAGCGCCAACATCTCGAAGTCCGTGACATGGAAGAAAGGAAACGGAAACGAGAAGCTGAGATTGAGCAAGAAGAACAGAAGTCATTAGAAAAAGAATGGGCGAAGAATTTTGAGGTAAAATCTTTATTTTCTAATAACTTAAATGGGTTGTCTGTTTATTGTCTGTTTGTTTCGTATCTATGAAAAACATTGATCACTCATTATTGTTCTATGGTCAAGAGTCTAATAGAGCTGAATGTTTGTTAGAGACAGATTGCAGGACAATAAAAAAAATATTGTTATATTAAGTTCTCTGTTCTTAATTTTTGCCTAGCCGCTACGACTGTTATGATTTATCCCTCGTTGGGGTCGGTTCTATTCGGTACATCCATGCATAATCTCACGCCTGACTCTCATGTCGTGAGGGTAGGCAGTGGCGTAGATAAGTACTGGCTCCCGTCCCATGCAATACTGCTTTTGTACCTATAGTAAGAATTTTCTAAAATAATATTTCAAATCCTTCTCTTGCCCATTTGACGTCCATGCGACGGCAGAGGCAATCAATTTTTTTTAAGTAGCTCTATATTATTATATCTACTGTAGAAGTAATCGGATAATTAAGTTTCTATGTACAACTACAAAACTATAAAGATCCATCATCGGTTTTGTTTTAGCTTCAAAAACACTTTTCACATTGAATTATTACTATAGTCATAACTCATAGTTTATCTCAATTATTTTGATTCGATTTTATCGTTGATTGTATTCAAGTTTTACTGTAATTTTATTGTTCTGTAACTACTTCGATATTATTTGTAGTAGGTAGTAGAATGTTTTTTCAATATTTTCTATTCCCGATGCTAAACAATCAAATTAACAACACATTGTTAGTTATGTATATGACAACAGCAAAGTGTTAAGACACTTGTTGCATGTTTAAGGGCCGATTTTTCAATAATCAGTTACTGTTTAACTGTAGAATAAAATTCTCATTTTTTAATATGGAAGAATTGTCAAATTTTCAAAGTTATTCCTCAATTAAATTTTTTATTTTATTTATTTAACTTTATGCAACAAGAGTACATAGGCGGGCTTAATGCCATGGGCATTCTTATTAGTTAACCCTTAGGAGATGCAGTGAGTGCGTGGTCGGTGCATTAACTTGAAAACCTAACAGTATCTTATTCTTATTATATTTGCTGTTGAAAAATTATTGATAAAGTTTTCTTTTTCTGTCCTTATCCTTAGATATTTAGGGTTGGCGCAGTGCTTTTCCACCTCCCCTTCTCTTGTTCTCACTTCCATCATCACATAGACAAATGTGACTAGACTTCTCTTTCATATCACTCAGCCCTTTTGCAGATATAACATGTAGTTCATCGTTTTATTCACTGTTACAGGAATCTCGACAAAACCGAGTGGACAGCTGGAAGACATTCCAATCTGGCGGCGGTAAGGAGAAAAAGAAGAAAAAAATCCAAGGGTTTAAACCTCCCAAACCTAAACCAGAGAGTAGATAACTCTCATTTAATATTAAACACTAATATAGTTCCATTTAGCGCTTTATTTCGAATCTATGACTATGATAGTTGACTAGATTTTAAAGAACTATTTACAATATCAATATTCTAAAGCATTTCGATGATTACAATGATCAGTCAGCTAGAGTCTTGAGACTTGTCAGCACGTCAGTTTAGTTCAAATTCGAATAATATTGAGAACTCGGCTGTGACAAAAATTAAGCAATGAAATAGCGTACCTACTAACTAGGAGTCTTATATATATTTGTCAATAAATATAATTGTTTCCAGTTTTGGTACTTTAACTCTTAGGAAACGTAGGTGGGCTAGCTATTGAGAAATAGATGATTAACTTACAATGTTTGTAAAAAACGGTCTTATAGATTTCAAACAGTTCTTGACTATTCTGATGTAAAAATATATTATATGTATCTAAATCAATTTTGTGATTATTTTCGTGTGTAAAATAGTTCTTACACATGTTCAGTGTTTAAAACCTTTGATAAATCTTCCTCCTGGTATACGTCCATTATGATAACTATCTTTTTTTAATAAAAAATGAATAAAGTTATAGAAAGGTATTTAACTGATGATTTGTGCAAGATCTGTTCACTTTCAGAGTTCATTATTGTTTTTGTATAGTGTAAGAGAATGTTGTGACAGTCACAAATGCTCAAAATAGATGGCGTTGATAAAGTTGGGGGTCATATGAATGTTGAATTACAGCCATTTCTAAATAAATGCTGTAGACTGGTGTTTATTTTGTGAAAATTAAATGCTAGTGGGTTATGTTGTGCCTTCCATCCATATTTATCCAGTGTACATATTCTATGGGTGTCCTCAAATAACCTCCAAGTAATCCAGCGTCATTTATTAGAGGTAGAAGCAGACATGTCATTGCGAAATTGTTAACTTTGTGTCGCGCTACTAGTGTAGTGCAGCCTAGCCGTAGATGCGTCGCAGGCAACTAGATTAATAAGCCTTTCAATTAGGAGCCTAGCCTGTTTAATAAATTAATGATATCGTAGTTAAATAGTTGATAGCTGGTTATTTCTGATAGATTGCGCAGTTCTAACCTAACTTAAGCTACTGTTCTAGTAGCAACTCTGTTTTAATCACAATTTTTAAGAGAGTGAGCCATGCTTCGGCACGAATGGGCCGGCTCGACCGGAGTGATACCACGGCCTCACAGAAAACCGACGTGAAGCAACGCTTGCGTTGTGTTTCGTCGTGTGAGTGAGGTTACCGGAGGCCCAATTACCCTCCCCTTCCCCAATCTCCCCAATCCCTGAATCCCCAACGATCCTCAAACTCCTAATCCCCAAACAGCCGATAACGCACTTGTAACGCCTCTGGTGTTCCAGGTGTCCATGGGCGACGCCGATTGCTTACCATTAGGTGATCCGTCTGCTCGATTACCGGCTTATGCCATAAAAAAAAAGATATCTCTTCAGTCTTCACCCTTCAATTAACGACCTGAACGAGAAATTCAGCCATTCAATCAAAAGGCTTATCGAATAGATCGTTAGGTAAATGGCTTATTACACTAGTTGGCTACGACAGATATACCTGGGTGCTTACTCTTGAAACTAAAATCAATCCAATAAAATCTTAATAATTATTCAATCTCAAAACTATACAACCCCTATCGTAGCTGTTAAAATAGTATCAGAGTACGGAATATAAAGCCAAACTCAATACCATTTAGTTCATTAAATATCCACGCAATACGCATGTAATGGGCGCTAATGTGAGTACGAAATTTCACAATATCAATGTCGATTGATAGGAATTGGATTCAAGAGTAAGCGCCCTGGAATGAGGACTATCGATTTTTGTAATCACCATCTCAAAATCCTGTTTGTCCCAATTGTCCTATCACTGAAGCTGTCAAAAATTTTACGTCCAATGGTACGACATTAATATTTTAACAAACCACAAGATTAATTATTAATAGCGCCTCTAGTGTGTAAATAATACGGTAGGTACCTAGTACTCATTAGGCGTTTACTGGAAGCGGAGTTACAAGACCCACAGTTCGTTTTGAAGCTTTGTCTTTGAACATAGGCTTGAGTAATTATTATGTTTTTCGGCTTACTCACGTAATTATTTGACGAGGAACTCGACTAGACTAAGCCATGCTAGAAGCTCATATTCAGCGTAGCAGCGCGAAAGTTGCCGCGTCGCGGGTGAGCGGAATGCTGCTCATGAATATGAGCCTCTAGCATGGCTTGAAACTAGCCGAGTTCTTCGTCAAATAATAACGTGAGTAAGCCGAAAAATATAAATAATTAAATTAGTATGTCTCACGACAGTTATCAACATAAATATAGGCTTGAGTACCTACCTATTGTAATGAATTGGTAGCGCAAATATCTTTGGAACCAATTTAAAAACGTAAGGTTTTTATTGTATACTTGTTGGACAGTATAAGCAATGAAATGCATACGCAATGCAATTACGACACGCGTTATCCACAGATTTATGTGGCCGCGTTGAACGCATTGTAATGTAACATTACCTAGTAGTAATTATGAATTCTTCTATCTCTATGGAAATAAAGGAAGAAATTGAAACTTGTCTCTTATTTCATTTGGGTTGATTACGTTTATAGACCTTTTACCAGTAATCATAAGATCGATTGTACTCCGCAGCTAATTTAGGTAAATTGGATTTCATACTTTGAAGGTAGTCGAAAGAAGAAGAGGATTAGGTATTGGAAAGTTCTCTGTAGTATCTATTCACTACTCTTCTGCCTATCCAACTCTCGAGTACTATCAACCCGATTTATCGTAATTATACCTGAATTTATTTGAACTCCTGATCACTCTGGGAACCATAGAAGGCTAATAAGAGGATTGTAAATTAATAAAAGCTACAACATTAATTATAATACTTTATTGTTAACGGCATATGGTTAAAAATTGCTAAACCGAGTCGTCGCATTCTTCGACCATGTCACTCGGCGGGCCGGGCTGCTTCGGCGGTCCCCAGTTCAAGAAGATGCTGTCGGTGTATAACATCATGCCGAAAGAAAATAGCCACCTGTACAAAAAGTCAATATTATAATAAAGCTTGAAAATCTATTTGAAAAAAAGAAAATAAACAGACTTGAGTAGGTAGGTTGATTTCATAGCTGCGGTAGATTCTGTATTCCGTAGCGTGCCCATGTGTAAAGCGAGATATTACGGAGTGATTTATCTTTGCAAAGGTGAGCAGTAGCAGTTGAGAAACTAAGGCATGCTAGGCAAGTGCCTGGGGTGCCAGGGTACAGAGACGGCGGCGCCAAAACATGAGGGACGTCTATGAGGAACGTGCCTAGAGCATAGGTTTAATCCGGTTTTGTCATACCAAGTAAGTAGGGACCATTACGGAGCCGTAGAAGGCCTAACTGGTTGCCGGGGTTCCAGCTCAAAGAGCAGGAGTAGGAACGGGGTGGTTTTTTGTCAGTAAGAGTCTGACACTCCCTCTCGCCTAAGGCAAGGGATGATTTTTTCCCTCAAAAAAAGTTAAGTAGGTACGTACCAGAATATGCCGGCTATTAAGATTTTATTATATTTGCTCTGCTTGTCGCTGTACCACGGTTCCCAAGGTAAGCATGGGACAGGCAGTTCATTCATGTGCGCATCGCAGCGGTCTGTGCAGAAAAAGTTACTTATAGTAGGGGAGCCCACGATGCTAAATTGGGATTTACTTGAGCGTCCTTGGGACCTACTGGATTTTGAAGATATGCTGATAGAAAGAAGAAATGGTTTAGTGACAATTTCTTCCACCAGTGGGGGAAGGGGGAATCTACAGATCTTTGAAATTGTTAAGCGTAACTTTTGTTCTAATGGTCGAGCGTGTCAGATATTGATAATGTACATGCTCCATGTATTTAATAATAAAAAACTCTTAATCTGCCAGTTTGCATGGTGGGGTTGAATGTTCTGGAGAGTACAAACGAGAACCCTTCAAAATCCCCCCACTCTTGCAAATCAAGTTGGAATGGGCAGATTTTTTAAACGCACTTCCTTTAGCACGGTATTGACCTACCTTCCCTTAATCTGACGAAACTGACTTTATTTAGTCAGACTTTTTTTTTTAATTTTCAGTCCCCCCCTTCTTATCAGATCGGATATATGTTGGGTATATTCAACATGACACTAGGTTTTCCCCATATGTTATTCTGACGCGCTCGAGTAACTACCGAAATCCCTTCATGGGCTCCCCTACTATTAGTAATTGGGCCTCCGGCAACCTCATCCACACGACAAACACAACGCAAGCGTTGTTTCACGTTGGTTTTCTGTGAGGCCATGGTATCACTCCGGTCGAGCTGGCCCATTCGTGCCGAAGTATGGCTCTCCCACAATTTGTATGTATGGACATTCCGCATATTCAATGGTATAATAGTTTTGCATAGCTTGATTCGTAGCCACTTGTAGGTTAGTCTACAATTTAGGGAAGTAAAAATTTCAAGTTATTAGGAAGCTACTTACAGGACCTGGTTGGTGTTATTGCCACTCGATTTCCGCATACAGCTAAAACACCGGGGTTCGGTTGAAAACCTGAACGTACTGGAAATAAAACAGTTCAATCAATAGCCCGTGACGGCCCTTTACTGGATCCTCCTCGACTCCTTTATAAAGTAGATTTCCTTCTTTTTATACTGTGCACATAATAGCTCAAAATGTCAAATGTGCTATGCTATGTACATAGATACAAACGCCTTTCACCAGTGATTTAGTTCCTATTACATGGGCTTAAAAAGCCTAAAATTGCCATTTACCAGGCATAATCCCAAACTCCGTGCCTAACCTACCTATTGAGAAATGTTCGAACCGGAAATATTCCCAGCAATATTTTTCCCGACCCGGGAATCGAAAACCCTTTACTCGGTAGTCGCAGTTGCAACCACTCGATAACGAGGTAGACAAATATTGGTTTCGTTATTCGTAAGTGACTGCTAGAGGCACTGTAAAACTTATCAAACATATTATAAAACTAAATCAACTTACATCATCATAATCATGTCCATTCCTAATAGATCCAGCGACAATAAGGTACGTCTTGTCGCCATCGAATATCGACAAACACTATTGCTTCACACTTATAGTAGATAACATCATCATCACGCCTTTTATCCCCGAAGGGGTAGGCAGAGGTGTACCTTATGCCACTGAACAATGTAACCACTTTTCACTATTTATGTTATGAGTCCCATGTAATAGAGGGTGAGACTTATACCGGGCTCGATTCCAGACTCCGTGCTACTACTGAGAATTTTTTTAAACCCAGTAGTACGTTGCCTGACCCGGAAATCGAAACCGAGACCCCTTGCCCGGCAGTCGCACTCGCGACCATTCGGCCAACGAGCCAGTCTTACTTATAGTAGTGATTACATATTTACCTATTTGTAGGTATCGATGATCGATCGTAAATGACATGCTTCATGATAAAAGTCGTACAATAAAATAATAAACATAAGTTATACTAACACAGGGTTCCGCACGCGTATCTTCTACTTATAGCCGATGTTAAACCTCTTCGAAACCCCAATACCTTTGCTAGCATAATTTATTCCGTATTTAGTATTTTCACAATCTTTCTGCAGGCGATCAACCGTCAATGTGATTCGATAAGTTCGATTTGCGATTTTTGACGTTTTATGAATGTAAAAACTTTTGTAGCCTATTATTTTAAACGGTTATTGAAGGTTGTATTGCAGTATTAAGGATAAAACCTTTTTCTCTTGTATTCATTTTCAGTAAGCTTTCTCCTCGTGCTTGATGGTTGATGAACCTTCAATTCGATCCATTTAGGAACCAGTTCATGATGAGCTCAACTCAACTCAGCGAAAGATGTGTACCTACGTACCTTTGTGGATAAAAACTTCGACATTTCGGCCTGAATTGTGTTATATAATTTCATGGATCGCAGATGACTCCACCAAAGCCGCACCAGTTATTTCCAGTCTGTGGTAAGTAGGACTTTACTCACAGTAAAATATTGTAATGTAAATCGATACACCATTGACATTCAACACCAACTTTGTCCATTTCACTGGATTACAATCGTGCCATCATAACTTTTACTTTATATTGTAACTTTATTATAAACTGATGACTTTGATACGGCTGTAACTGACATAAAAATCTTTAGAAATAGCTCTTGGTATAATAAAAACTTCACCAAGGCGTAATAAAAAAATCTTCGTTTCAAAGCGTTAAATATTCCAAAAGTTTAACAATAAAAATGTCCCTTCAGAAACGAATGTGTTATGTTGCGGGTAGGCGGCGGTTGGTCATAGTGAGAGCGTTACTGCGATATGCCAACATCAATACTACTTTTTATTGCAATGTGTTCCTATAGTTTTTATTGTTCTACATAGACATCAACATGAAGAGATTGTGGGTCACACGTTTGAGCAAATGTTGGCTTTAAGTGCTTTTATTATGTAGATATTACTTAGGTACATAGCGAATATTTCTTGGGCGAGTGTTTTTCCAAGTTACGATATTGTAGAGAGGTTTTGGTACAATTAAAACAACCAGTTAAATTTTGAAAACAATATCAAATTTAATACATAAATACGATTTATGTACTTCTACATACAGGTTTTGTCTATATATTTACATTGAAACACGTAATTTCATTCTAATTCATCTAGAGTTTCACATTTTTGTCATACAGTAATTATTATAATAGTAAGCAACTGAAAAAAAAATCAACAAAATTATTATACCTACTAAAGTTACGCCATAAAAATAATGATGCAAACATAGAAAATTTTTAAACATTGTACAAAATAATTTACACCGAAGTATCTCTTCTATGGGTCGTACGCCCATCTCCTATAAATAGGTACTTACATGATTACTAATGCAATAACCATGGTCTAATATTAAAATATATTATCTATTACGAACTAATGACAATTCCCAAAGGCATAAACAAAAGGGCAATTGTATGCGCCTACATGCGTTTACGCATTCCATAATTATAACATAGCAATTCAATCTACTTAGATCAAATTGTTTACACTCTATCGCAACGTACACCTAACCACACAAGTAACGACACCTTCCATCAAATATTATCCCATACATTTTACATTAAACGAGTTCGTAAGTTTTGTATCGGACGATACTGTACTTATTTTGTGCATTGTATAAGCTAACCCGTATTGTGTGCCTCTAGTCACAGTTTTAATTAATCTGGAAGTAAATTGCTAACAAGGTTAAAGATTTCCATTTAACTTTTTCTTTATATTAAAAAAGGTAAATAGAAACGTTCAGAGCGAAATTTAAAGAGGTTCGATTCAGATTTAAAATTTAGTAAATTATGTTGATCAAATAAATTTTAATAGTTTTCACATTAACTACCATAGTTCTAAGCCACGAAGCTATTTCTTCAGCAAACCAAGGCTAAAAGCACAACACCAAACTACATTGTGTTCACTCATTCACATTAACGCTACGCTTTAATGGAACAGACTTTTAATTCGGTCCATATTTAATTGACCACATGGATTGACATAAATACGCCTCGTCACATTGTATATCGTAATATTACATTTCAACAACCAGGAGATAATATTAACTAACAACCTTAACTAATTCATGAGATACCTCCGAAGAGACTAATCAATTACTCATCTAAACACTCATAATACAAACTAACGATTTAATATCGATTACACATACATTCATATAATCGATTTTGTTATTGGATTTTACGTATTTATATTTGGCAAATGGTTACTATCAGAAACCCATCACCTAGGTAGGGTCGATGTCGAACATCCACTGACCGCACGACTGACTTTAAGTCACACAAAATTAAATTTAATCATTACCTATCTAAAAACATTTACAGAAATTATATGTGTTCACAACTCGCGTCAATATACTGAATTTTGTTTCTCTAATTGTGTACCATATAATAACAATAAACGTGCAACTAAATAATTTTGTGGTGTTTGAATTAAATTTACCTTTTTTGTACGTCATTTACACAATGGATTACGAAACTAAATGCTGAAATATAATATTATCTATAGCACCAATGACAGCTGCAAATATACGCAATAAAGTATACAAGCAGTGAATGTTTAAACAATTGCACGCGTAAATTAATATTTTCGAAAAACAATGCTAAACCTGAAACTTGTCTTTAAAACACATATGTATAAATGGACGCCAAAAGTATATGAATTGACTTATACGATACACGTACTAAATTGAACACTTATTGGCTAAATCTATCACAAAAAGTCCACTGAGGTAATTTACAAAATGAACTCATTTTTGCTACGTTTACAGTTCACATGGGCTAGCCCGCAATAATGCTTATCTATGAGTAAAATTCTGCTTATATATCTGAAAAGTAGCTTACTGAAAAAATAATATCTGGGACTAGATATTTGACTAAAACAGATTTTGTTTGTGCGTCATTTATAAGACACAAATTCTAACGTCTCCTGGTGTATTATTAGATATAAACATTGTAGAATGAGCGTAATAACATACACACTATCTTGAGACAACTAGCAGACATGTACTTGAGAGCAATACTTTGAAGCTCTGGCTTTCGAATATGATAAAACGCTTATAGTCAATAATACTACTGAAGCAGTTTATTGTCTACACACAATCTATACAACAAAAACTTATCCAGTCGTACCATTAACTATACAGATTGCATTAGGGCCCGTCGTAACTATATCAAATTGGAAAAATGAAGCCCGTTCTGAATTTGGCGTCTATATAAAATTATGTAATGTTGAGCAATTACAATAACGGTATTTGGTAATTAATGGCGCATGTGTAGGTAAATGTAACTATAAAATAAATCTATTTACATTATGGCATTATTGAATACAATAAATCGCATTGTTGTTGACAATAGTTCGTAATTTTAATCAATTAAATCGTCATAATAAAAAACAGGAGGCAATATGGATACCATATTCATTTTTCATATTTGGCTTAATTAACTTCCTGTCATTTATCATGGTCATCAGAGAATCGGCATTTACTAAATAGGTAGATACATAATTATAAATAATATTGACCCGCATACTAATTTACAACTTGGCCAAATAAGCGGTTGCATGAATTATTTTGAGGTTTTTCTGTGTTATAAATAGTTTTCAGATAAACAAAAGGCGACTTTTAACTATCCCAAAATAATCCATACAGCTTTACGTTTTCAATTCATTTAAACATAATCGTCAGAAATGATTTGGTCAAATTATATTTCTACATTTTGTTCCGTAGCAAATTTAATTACAATAAAATTCAATTACCATAGACATAGACTATTTAAGCATAGATTCATTTCAGACATAGAATAAACTCTCGGTACAAATACATTCAGAAGTAATTCATTTTCAGTCAGATGTGCCTCCTCACACTGAGATGTGGTATGTACTTAAGTTAATAAACCTATAGTAGATGCAGGGGTAGGCATCATCCTCACTGCACCACCCGACTCCGAAGTCCGTTTCAACCACAAAAGTCGCTGACACCGTTAATCTTGAAACTACACATTGATCATTTACGCGAGGTCACATTTACCTTAAAAATAAAATTCAATGTCTAATATATCACGAAAAATGTCACTTTGATCGTCAATTTTGCTTGCCAATAATAGTTTTAGAACACTTATCAGTCTCCATGATTCAACTGGTCTTCTTAAATTTGGTTCGTAATTGTGATGAATCGTTGTATTCTTTTGAATTGCCTAAAAAGGCAAATTGCCGTCTGGCATTCACGTCCAATTTTCATCTGTTGTGATTAGATCATGTCGGGTTCAGGGAACTGCAGGTATCTCTGATTGCCGATGTGTTTTCGAATCTGTAACAAGGAAAATAAAAGTTAAAAAAGGAAAGTCTTTTATTAAAAATGTTGCCATGAGATTGATGGCCAAACTAAATTACTAAATCACTGCCTCATTGTTTTGAAGCACAATAAATAAAATAAAAGTGACCTAATTAAAATTTTACAAGAATTAGTTTTCCTAGAGTTCAATTTCATAATCACGTTGTCTTGTACAAAGATTGTATTCGTTATCTTTGGTATGTCATGAACGAGAACACGCGTGCCCTTTAGAAAGATCGTCATTCATAACTCCAATCATTTATTTCCTCGCATCAATGAACCAATTGATTAAAGTCAATCAGAGATCACGATCACTACAACTCTCAATTAGTGGCTGTACTAGTTGACTGTTTTATAAATAGGAATACTAACACAGTTACAAATAACTCGCTAAAAATATAAGTAAGCAAAAGTAGAAGACATCGAATCAATCTGCAGAGAAATAAACCACGAGTATATTCGTGAACCATCAATTTACATCCTAATTAAATGTGTAGGAGTAATAAAACCGTCTCACGGTGCGGCGGTATCATAGTAATCTCGATCTAATTCTCGCGCAACGTCTGTGGATGTGGATTATCAGCATTTCTCGTCCGGGCAGAGTTTCTGCTGAGTTGGTGGAGTGTAAATCGTAACCTGCCCGCCATAGCGACGCCAAGTCTGCGGCGCCCCGCACCCCGCGCCTCGCAGGTGACGACCCTTAGGGTTGCACTACAACTATCGACTAAATTTTTTATTGTCATATTGTACTATTTGCGATAATTAAGATAAATTGCATAATTAGCAGTTGACACGTCGGTTAGTTTGTTTCATCGTGGAAGAATAAAAAAAGTTACTTTACGAAACGGTGTTGACACTATTTGTTTTCTACATTAAGAAGACGCGTCTTTTGGCCTTCGTTACTTGTCATATTTCAATGGAAAATGCCATAATACGTCAATAGGTTTAGATAATTTATGGTATTAATATTCAAGGGCGAATGAGTTGGGTTGTTTACAAGGAACTACGCAATTGAAACTTGTCACTGTAGAGAGAATTCTTCTATCGAAAATTTTATCGATAGTTTTTTTTTTAAATAGTGTGACACCACTATAAAACCGCGATAAATCTGTCGCATATTCAGCGATGTAACGGACTTTCTCTTCGCGTGACTCATTGCTCAGAATAAGTGCGTTCTTAATATGTGATGTGGATAATTGGTATGCTTATCTCGAAATAAGCTCGTCGCAGAATTAAATGGTTTTGGCAAATTAGAATTTTGTTTTAATTATATTTTTGTGTGGAGTTTAAGAGCGTTCATTTTTATAAGTTGGAGTTTTACATCGATATAGTTATTTAATGTAAATTCTCATCAAGTAGTTGATATTGACGGCTAACTGTATTTCAATCGTAAAAGATGGCGCAAAAGTATGTATAAACTGAAGTAGTGTTGTATTTTTCTAGAAAAGTGTCGAGTTTTCCATCAATACATAGTATAAAACAAAGTCGCTTTCGCTGTATGTCCGTATGTATGCTTAGATCTTTAAAACTACGCAACGGATTTTGATGCGGTTTTTTTTAATAGATAGAGTGATTCTTAAGGAAGGTTTATATCATGCATATTGCACCCGTGCGAAGCCGGGGCGGGTCGCTATTACGTGTAAAGTAAAGAAATGTTCTGGGTAGTGTATTTCTTTTTCTTATAGAGCGATTGATGCACTCTAGACAGCGTAGGAGTATTTACTAGCATTGCACAGAAAATAGTTTTTTTTCTAGTACCTTTCTATTTAAAGAGCAAACCATTTCTATTTAAAATGAAACAACGAAAATTGTCTATTCTAGAACAATTGTCTCATTATCACAATTTGTTCATAAGGGAGTCAATCTCATTTTTGTCAAACAAATCTTATGATCTCTATTACCTATATTATACGTAATTTAAAAAATCTTCATTTGTCATCACCATTCCCAAACCCAAAGAAATATTTACAAGTCACATTGAATTAGCAATGTAACTGATACTAAATACGTTTCAGCCAATCAAATCATAATAGTTTAACAATAATTTATTATAGAAATATTTGTAATTAACACGCAGAAAACTATAATAGGTTATCTGTGTAGTAGAATAATGATCAATTCACGAATCACGCGTATTAATTGCTGTTTGAGTGACCTTGGCAGACGTATGAATGACAGCTGACATGCAGGGGGCATTTAACTGTCGTGTGTCAGCAGTAGACAATTATTGTTGCATATACGTTTTGTATGAGATTTTTGCAGTGAAAATAAAGTAGGTAGATATGAACAGTATGTTAATATTTTGGATTCAGAAATTTTCTGTATTTTGATTTTTTATCAATAATAGCATTAGAGTCTAGGTGTATGGTAATATTACCGAACCTTTGTTGGGTACGATACAAGAGGGTAAAATAATTAGAAAATTAAAACGTGGAAAATTTAATATCAATAATGCCCTTACAGTGGAAAAATAAAGAAAGTGATCTTGATACTTGTACACAACTTGTAGGTATACAAAAAATTGTTCAACATATTAGTTCTGTTTAAATTTTTCTATTGCGAGCATATGAAGTAGGTATTAGTTGTATGTATTTGTATATTTACGTATACAATACAGCTACTGCGCAGTGCGATTTTATAGTCGTGGTTTGTTATCATTTTCTTATTTATAGTCACGTGCCCAACAATAGGAATTCGCCTGCAATTATTTTCGCTATAATCAAGTGCAATTACTTAAATGAGTTCTTTATCGTTATATCGAATCCTAAGTTGTAATGATAAAATAAGTAAGTGTATTTAAAATAAGTTATTGTTTTACTAATATATGCGTATTTCAATAGTGCTACGTCGTAGCGCGTAGCTAATCCGCACTCGGAAAGAATTTGCGAATTTGAAGGATGTGGCTAATATACGTAGAGTTCGTAGCAAGTGCTACGAACGGCTACGAGATATCCTCTGCTACTAGATTTTTACTTTTTTTATTGCATTCTTGCTGTTAACCTCATAAAACGTTACTTGACTATTGAAATGAAATATATTTTTATTCTATTACGTATCTTCATTGAAATCAACCAATTCAAGTGCGGATCAATTTACAAAATCCGAGCGGTATGTTCGTAGCACAGAACTAGCAAAAGTTTTTCGATTTTTTTTTCAACCAGTCTGACAGTGTGATAATAAATCGAGTTTCGGATGTCACGGGTTATAAAGCATAGGCGTCGTCGGTTATCGAGAGAATCCGGTGAGGCGGGGCGGTGTTTGGCGCAAATTTATTCATACTGGGGGCCCTGCGACCTCTTAACTCTTGTGATATTTAGGGCACACTTCCTTCGCGCCGATTCCTAGAGCCCATTTGTTACATGCTGAGTATTTTTTAAATACACGCTTAAGCGCCACGGTTATGTAATGATGGAGATATGTGTGGGTGTTGTTGAAAGCATTCGGTAGTGAAGTTAGTTTAAGATTTATTATGTGTGAAAATTTTATAGGAGTAGGAGGGAATTTTTGCGAAGATTTGTTGGTATATGTACTGTTCGTTGTATTATTTAAGGAAGATAAATGTCTGTCGTGTTGAATTATCGTTGTATGGTACCTTTACCACCCTTATTTTTATAAAAATTCTCACCATAATTGATGGTCGGCTACATTGAGTTGAAATATATTTTATTGAACGAAAATATTCACAGAATCGATTTCATCCCATTACAGTTTAATACATTTTGTGTTTCAAGTCATCTACTGAACTGTATTAATGACATCACAAGTTGCAATCTTATCATGGACAA